CAACAGAATGCAAACATAAAAGAACAAATTATCACAAGAAATTCTATTAAGTAGAAACAAGAGTTTAAGCTATGGCTTACATCAAATGCTGGTGCACTTTGTTGTGCATTCTGACTACTTGGTTCTCTGAAGCAGTCACTGAAGTGGAGCAAAAGACCCATTGCAATGATCCAAGAACAAAGCTTCTCTGCTTCTTCTTGGGGTGCATTCTCCTGCTGACTGGAGAGCTTTTCTAGCAGAGTTCGCCCTGGAGGGGAAAAAGGTTAACGAGTTAAGGTTAGAATTATCACTATCTATGAAGCATCACAATCTGACAGGTAGAAAATATTATCTAACTCTTCAGATAATACAAAAGGGACATGGTGGCTCAGTGGCTAAGATGCTGAGCTTGTCAATCAGAAAGGTCGGTAGTTCAGCGGTTCAAATCCCTAGTGCCGCGTAATGGAGTGAGCTCCTGTTACTTGTCCCAGATTCTGCCAACCTAGCAGTTTGAAAGCACGTAAAAATGCAAGTAGAAAAATAGGAACCATCTTTGATGGGAAGGTAACAGCATTCTGTGCACCTTCGGCGTTTTGTCATGCCAGGCACATGACCACAGAAACGTCTTTGGACAGCGCTGGCTCTTCGGCTTTGAAACAGAAATGAGCACTGCTCCCTAGAGTCGGGAATGACTAGCACATGTGTGAGGGGAACTTTACATGTGAATAAAACACCTCTTCAAATACTTTACTATAGCTTATATTTGATAAGCGTCAAACACCATAATCTCAATATGATCTAGATAACACCATCTTGGATACAGATAGGCTATTTTGGAACAGTAAGTGCTACTTTAAAAACAACAATGTCAGAGAGTTAACTACTAAATTTGGAGACCTAGACGCTGCTGGATCATCTGCAAGGAGCTGCTTTGCTTCAGTTATATCTCTTGCATGCATCATAGGCACATGGAAGTACATTGGAGGATTATATCAGCTACTTGTAGAAGCTATTCCATAGCTTCCTCTGCTGTAATTAAGTGCTCAGCAAATAGCACTACCTTTTCATAACTTAATTAAATTGCTACCACAGGATATTAAAACTTAATTTTTCATCATAAAGTTCTTAAATGTAAAATAGCATTTCACCTATAACCTACTGTTTATCTGGGAAGATTTATTGGATGACGCATCAAGCTTATTTATAGACAAACATTCCGAAATGTTCTGCCTGACAGTAAAATGTGAGGGAGGAAGAGAAAGAGATTGAGTATAATTATCACAAACTATTGCTGTACTTATAAGGGGAAACTTTCTTCTACTGGCCAGCTTTTTTCTCAGCTTTACAAGCTCTTAAGAGTACGATTAGAAGTGGGAGGTTGTGTGGTAGCAACAACCTACTAAACGATGCTTTTCCTGCACTGCAATCAAATTCTGCCAGTATTTTAGCTCTCAATGAATTGGAACTGGTTTAAATTGAGATATAATGATATAGCTAACTTGATTGCTTTTGGCCATCTTAACAAAAAGCAACATTTAAAAATATGTGTGCTTAAAAAAATAAAAAGATCTTTTACATAAAAGCTCATAAACTGAACTACATGAAATAAGAAGAGGTCAGCATGGTATAGTGGTTTAGGTCTTGGGTCAGAAGAAGGCAGAGCCTGGTTCTAACCCAACCTTAACCAAAAAGGGAGTAAAAGGTTGAAGTGGTGACTGCAACAGTGCAATGAAAGCTCCCACCTCCATATTTAAAAAATGTGCAGCTGCCCCATGTTGTTTTAGGCAAATTGGTCCTCCACACAATTCCCTCATAAGGCTCTTGAGAAGAAGAAAAAACAGAAGATCCTGCTATGCACAGATCCTTGAACATTGTGTATAAAAGAGAAAAAGTAAATCTAATAAATAAAAGTAAAGGTAAGTTAAAAAGTCAGTTGTAGTGAGATGTAAGTATTAACTTATGGGAGCATTTTCAGTTGTAAAGAGGAACATGTGTACTAAACTAGCAACATATAGGTTGTCCTAATTTCACTCCATGTAATTCTACATACACTTTGTTAAATCTATTCTATTCCATATTTTAATTTAAACATGTTCAAAATTATACATACTTAAATATTCATATTATCTTTAAAAACCTTGTCCCACAAATATACAGTAGCCAACCCCAATTCTATTGGCTTTTGCAAAGCTATGAAGTCCTGGCTCATCCAATGCTATAGGTATTGGTGATTAATTATTTTGTTATTTTACTGAGCCTCGCTGTGGTTTTATCTAGTCTTTCTTGGTTTAGTGGGATGCTTTGTTTTTACTTTGTTCACAACCCAGAGTCTCTTGTACTGTCCAGTTAGATGATTGTATATTATTAGATTAACTAACAGGACTAAAATAAATATTTTCTTAAACAAGTGTTGAAGGATTTTGAGTAGCAAAATCTGACAAAGTTCTCTAACCCATCTACTAAGCTAGGAAAAAATGAATCAGATATGTTAGTTTAAAAGAGTAAAAAAGAAATGACATTCTTGAGCCACCCCCTCAAGAAACATGACGTGGCTCCTGCCAACTTGCCAGTCTGCCAATCTTTTTATAAATAAACCTCAGTTTATTTATCAAATGGATTAGTCTGTTTCTGCTGGAAAAACAGCAGAAAGTTCAGTTTATGCTCACATCAGCACATAAACACGATATGGCAATAGTACATAGAAGCTATCAAAAAGGTACAAGGAAACAGGAAAGGAACATGGTCGAGGGAGCCTACCAGCTCCTTAATACAAAAGTTTTGAAGATGGGTTTTTACATCTCTTACAATGAATATTATTTTTAGAATGGAAAGATTCCCAATAGCAGGAAGGAGACTATTATAACATTAATATCTAAAGATCTACAAGATTTGACTTTAATAAGAAACTATTGACTAGTGAAAGGGCTGCAGTGGTTCAGTGGCTAAGACACTGAACTTGTCAATCAGAAAGGTCAACAGTTTGGAGTTTTGAATCCCTAGTGCCACATATTGGAGTGAGCTCCCATTACTTGTCCCAGCTTCTGCCAATCTAGCAGTTCGAAAGCATGTAAAAAATGCAAGTAGAAAAATAGGGACTACTTTGGTGGGAAGGTAATAGCATTCCATGTGTCTTCAGTGTTTAGTCATGCTGGCCACATGACCATGGAGAAGTCTTTGGACAGCACTGGCTCTTCAGCTTTGAAATGGAGATGAGCACTGCCTCCTAGAGTCAGGAACAACTAGCACATATGTGCGAGGGGAACCTTTATCTTTACCTTTATTGACCAATGAAACTATTGACTTTACTGAATAATGATCAATTGTTTGCTATGCTACTGCTCTTAATGCTTATTCCTATTTATAGGCAACCCTATAACAGAGTTCTTAGTTGACTCACACAAGAGAATATACATTCATAAGGACAATAAATCCTAAGCCCATACTACAGAACTAACCTCACCGAATACAATAGGGTTTATTTTTAGCCAAACATGCACAGGAGACATCATTAGTTACTAATTTGCTCCAAAATAATCAGCTGTCATGTTCAAAGCTACCTAATGATTTTAGAAACACAAATTGTTCCAAACAGCTGCTTGAGATAAGATTTTTTTAAACAACAACATATAAATATCAATGTATTTTCACCAGAACAAATAAAAGAAGCAAAGCAAACATTTTTTAATTCTTCAAATAATATAAACATATTGACCTCCCAATTCAATGATTAAACTCTGTAGACTGTTCTAAAGGACAAGAAGAAATAAATGAGCATTTGGTGACACACTGATTACTGTATTTTGCTTTTTTTTTTTAAATAGGTGAAGATGCAATGCAACCTAATGGAAGGTAAGCTCTCTGGCTAATATTTTGCAGTAAATTTAGCAGCAATTCATGAATGCTAAGATGTTTCTGTCATTTAAAAGGGATGCTTAAGAAGTGAAACTTTCAAATAGGATTGAAACCTCTCTTGACGACATCAGGAAGAAAAACAATAGAAAATCCAGTTCTGTCTGTTTTAATAATATGGCCTCTCTCCCACTGCCTTATCATGTGCCCCATAAACATTTAGTACACATAGGCTCACATACAAAGCATAGCCCTTCCCTGGATGGAAGATTTCTTCTTCTCAATCTAGCAACA